CAGCTATGCAAATCTGTATTTTTCAGCTGACTGTTGATAACATATGTTCATTAGATTTAAAATTGATTTCATTTTTACTTTTTGCACAAAAACATTCAGCACATGACCTCAAGTCAAGGAAATACTTAATATCTAAAGGCTATCCTGCAAGGCAGAGCACCCACAATTTGAAAACTGCTCTTTTCTGCTCTTCTTTCTGCAAAGCTGACAGGACAAAGACTTTTGTTATTCCCATAAAACATGAGGTAGGGGAAAACATCTATCCAGTAAGCTGTTTGACCAGGGAGTGTTTGAAAACTCTTGTCATCCTTTTGATTGAATACAATTGAATGAAGAGACACTCATATATTCACCTTGAAGATGCACCATAAACCTGTAAAAAACTGAAAACGATGTGCTTAAATTGCAGGTCATTCCAAAGTGTAAACTTTGAAACTAGTAATTTAGAGTTTACATTTCTATATAATGTTGTTTTATTTTTTTACCACATTACATTTAATTAATATTTACACCCTTACTAGGCAAGGCTAGCCTAAGAAGCACTGGATAGCACATTACGATACAATTCAAAGTACTTTAAATAAAGGACTGAAAAAAGATTAAAAAAGATTAAAAAAACATTATAAAGTATAGTTTAAAATTAGAAACAGGTATGTAAAATTCTGATCCTACTTACAAACATGTTTGTGATTATACAACTCAAATTTTTTTAAAACTTTGGCATGAGTAAAATTAATGCATATACTCATGGAATTCATGACTTTCTATTCTTTTTTTGTGGAGTGAACATTGTTTTTTCTGCTTTATCCACTCCATTACAACATTGGCAAAAGATCTGAGGGAATAATGATGACAAAAGTAAATCATGAATGTTCAAATTATTTCTCCCTGTGTCAGTATGGGTTCCCTCCGGGTAACTTCCAGGCATGTTAGGTCCACAGAGGACTCTTGATGACCCCTAGGAGTGAATGTGAAGGTGTGTGGTTGCTTGTCTCTGTGTCACCCTGTGAAGAGTTTTTTAAAATTATTTTGTCACTGACAATACTCCAACAATTAGTAAGTATAGTCAGGGTTCATGCATACCCCCCTCTCGTTCCTGTTGAAGGAGGTGTACTTTATAAGATTATGTGTTTTTTCAGGGATACTAACAAACAACCTACATCATCATTTAAATTACATGACTAAACTGTTTTGGATAAAAGCAATGGACTGCTACACATAACCAGCATTTTTGTTGTACTATGTATGTTGTGTACCATCTGCCCAGCTGATCTTTTCAAGACCTTGATTCAATATTAGGTGAATTAAAGACAAAAAGTAAGGTAAAGGTTGGAAGTTTTTTAACTTAATTGACAAACCTTCTTGGAGACATTTATGTTTTGAGTTCAATGGTTACTGATTGCAGGTCAGTTTAATTCTAGAGATTTACGTACATTTTGCATATTCACAAAAGAAAGCACACATGTTATTTGTTTTCTTTTTATTTAAAGACTAATGCAGAGAATCGGATTTTACAGGGCTGTATCATAACCAAAAAGAAACAAAAGAAAACATTTACAGAGGTTCGTCATTTAATCTACATCAATTACAACCCTTTATCAGAATCACTGACCTACCAGCATATGCACTGTATGTCGGGTGTGTGAGGCTGTGTGCATTCTGTAAGTGTGTGTCTATTAATGTCCATATAAATGCGGTCTTGTTCTAATTTCTCTTACCCTTATCAATTTTTGTGCTTTAGAAAATTATCTTTTTACACTTCAGTGAAAATCAGAACATATTTTGTTTGATAAAAATACAAGAAAAAACAAAAAACTCTGGTAGGTATCTAGGTATAACCAAAGACTCTGTGTTGGAAAGCAAGTGCTGCTGAGAGCTGCAATGGATTTTGAGTCAAACATAATGACACTAATGGCTGATGTGCTGACTTATGTGATATTTACATTTATGAAATGCCTTTGAGAGTGACAGCAATAGTAGGAAGCTCATGATTGCACTGTGCCTCAAATTTTCCATTCTCTCTTCGGAGCATTAAACATAGCAGAACCGGAACAGGCTCAAAAATATTTGTGAATGCTCTTTAGTCTTAGAATCGGGAAAGGGGGCTTAGCAAAAGTGCGTCAAACAGAAAACATCTGTACAAAATTCATTTGTCTTTGTCAAAGTCAAAATTCTCTGGCCTCTTATATTTTACGGGCTTTGAAAATCAAAGGAAAAGCCAAAATGAACCGTTTAGCAAAACCACCTTTTCAACAGCTTCAATTTTTGTAATGACAAGCTCAACAATTGGACAGAAAAATTTAATAACAAGGTGTTGTTGATACAATTTTGCTCTCTTTTTTTTTTGGCTCAATTACTTTATTGCATGTCTGTGGAAAGAAAAAGCGCAATCAACACTGAAAGCCATTTTCCCCCCTTAACCATGGACAAATCCAAAGCACAAACAAAAGATAATCCAGTGTTTTATATGATGCCACCCTGTATAGCTATGGATGGATGGGAGAGGGGGGGAGCAAATGGGTGCACAGCTGATACAAAAGCTAAGCTATTTTATTTCTTCTTCTTTTAATAGCTTGCAAATCTAAAGCTGAATGGTAAGGGAGATCAGGTCAGTGATGTGGTTCAAAGCTGTCCTTGCATAGCACGAAGCTTACTACATGAATGTAATGTTATTGTTCTTCTAAATGTGCAAAATGCATAACAATAGGTTGAAAATACAAACAATATTCATAATCATCTTTGATAATATCTTCATTAATAGAGTCAAATACTGTATGCATTATGTATTTTACATATGTATATATAGATTTTCTTCATGATAATAAATATACATACAATAGTTTAGAATTCAAATATCTTTATACAACTCTTCACCCTCAACTTTACAGTCCCTTGACCCTCTGCTTGTAGGTTAAGTGGTTGTGAGCAATAGACTACTTGCATATGCTTATGAAGATGTCTTTCACCAGGGGGTAGATTCTGTATTGATATCAATGCAAATACAAATAATAATAACAGCAACAACCATTAATCGCTTCTTCAGTTCCCGGGATCTTTTTCTCTCCGGCGCATACAACTCATAAAGAACTCTGCACGGGTTTTAAAATGCCTTTTTAGCCTGTCTAGTAACCTGTAAACCATATTCAGCAGACTGAGAATCCACAAAGCGGTGCAGAGCACCTCTACACCCGACACTGTCAAATATGGGCGACTTGAACTCAAGATGCACAACGCAATCCTTTAATCTTTTTTTAAATCTCTCACCGTAAGCAAAATAATATATGTTAAGTTTCCACACATGGCACGCAGATGGAACTACAAGTACAGAGGGGTCAGTGTAAAGCTACAATGGATGTCACCTCCAGACTGAGTGTCAGGTTCAGGTCCTAAGAAAAGCCCTTGCTAATTAATATTGCTACATCAAAATAATTTTAAAAATGGACTGTTCAGAAACCTTTACTTGCCACATCAGCGAAGAAGCATTTCCTAAAAATGGGCGCGTGTTTTTATTTTTTTTTTCTAAGTCAAACGAAGCAAAAAAGAAGCAAGCAATTATGACCACGATAACAAAAGCATTCTTTTTCACTTTTAGTTTTTGTTGGTTTATATCGGAAGAGGGATTGACATCATGCTACAAAAATATATTCATCTTCGTCACTATCGTAGAACCACGAGACAAGTCCCCTGTGCGAAACGTTGCAACGGCTAACAGAAGATTACAGTGCCACTTCGACTCAGCGTCCTCTTTCTTTCTTTTCTCTAAGTCTCTCTCTGTCCCTGTCCCCTGTCCCTGTCTCTCGCTGTTGCTCACCAACAAGCAGCAACAAATGACTCCAAAACGGGGCATGTGATACTGAAGGCAGTGTAGCTGGTACTTTCTGAGTGTTATGTCTCAATTTTCGAACCCAGTGGAGATGGACGCTATGGTAAACGTGGCGAGGAGACACCGTGGGATGGAAAATACAAGATGCACCATCAACCAGCAAAGTAAGAGCCTTCACAGCTTCAACTCTAAAAATGGAAAAGGCACTTCTCCTCCATCTCAATGTGCCCCACCCCCCTTTTTTAAACAGATGCTAACCGAAACTTTCCCATCAATGGTGTTTTGGCAAAAAGAGGCCTCGCTAGAAATAGTCAGAAGCCAAAGCAAAAAATAAATAAAATAAAGAAGTTCAAACACAAATGAAAGTAAAATAAACCAAACAAAAAGTAAGTAAGCAACACTTTTAATACTAAATGTTAAACGCAATCCAGGATTTGAGATTTTACATTCTTGCTCGTGACAAGCCAATCTCAGCGGAAACCAGTAATATTCTTGCTGTTGATGGAAAATATCAAATGTCATTGCGAAAGCAGCTCTGAGTGGAACGTTAGTTTGGAGGAGAATCCGTCAGTTTTTAGCATGAACAACACTGGCATATACTCTTCTTGTGGAAAGTATTGGAAGAGAAAAAAGAAATCCATGGAATAAAAAAAAAAAAAATGTTTACCTTTCAGTTAACACACCCTTGTTACCTTTTGCAAAGCATAAACCTAGTATATAGACATCTTTAACTCCTGATATTTACAATGCTGTGAAAGGAAATAAAAACATTTTAAATGCTGAGAGCAAGGGGATGCTTGGACTTTGTATTTTTTTTTCAATCCCTAAATAAATGGTGTCCACTGAGACATGTTTTATTGCTATTGCGGAAACACTAAAATATTTTGAAGGATCACATAATCTCATAAAATTCTACAGTGAATGGAAGATATTCAGAAAGAGAATGAGCACTGTTGACATCAAATAAAGTAAGCCACCAGTCAATGCTGAGCTGTATTTTGAATGACTAAATAGAAATAATAAGATGCCCTGTCCATGCATATACACAAGTGCCGTTTTCTGTACCTGTGACTCCCTGTTCAAATGAAATAGTGTAAAATAGATCCAACAAAACAATAAAAAACCAGAGCAAAACAAACAAAGTAAACCAAAAATCCAACAAAAAAAAAAAACAAGCAAAAAAAAAATCAAATGAGGCAAGAAGAATAGAAGCAACAGCCCCTTAACAAGTTCGGGCTGGGCTATGTGCAGTTCTAGAATAGCATTCTCTTGGCTAAATATTTATAGAAGCATTTTGTAGTAGCATCATCTTAGACCTGAACAACACTCTTTCAAAAGTTTGTATCATTTGCTATCTTTTTTCCTGTATTTTTGTGTTTTCAAAATCTTCAAAATGTTGGTAAACATAGAAGCAATGCAATAACTGGGAATTCAAACCAGCATGGACACAATGTTTATCTCAAAATAAACACTTCTTTTTTTTTTTTTTTGTTGAAGAGGAATAAGAAAGAGAATGAAATCAGGTTGAATTTAAAAGGAATGAGATATGGATTAGGTTGGATTCATCCCCTGCAATTTGGGCTTCTTATTCAAGTAGGTTGCCCAATAGACCAAGTTAAAGGTTCCAAAGAGCAGAGGGAAGGCTATTCTGGCAATCCTGTCAATCTTGCTCACACTGTTAAAGGTCTTCTTGGCCTCTGGAGGCTTGGGCTTTGGCTCCTCCTTGGGCTCGTCGGGGGGTGGGGGGGCGCTTTTGGCGATTGTGGCCAATCCAGGGTTCCTGGCAGGATTGGGGGCGAAGGGTGTGGCTGTGGCGGGTGGGTAAGCCGTGGTGTTGTTCTTCTTGAGGAGAGACTCCTTCTTCTTCTTTTGCTGGTCGTAGAATTTGGAAGGGAAATAAATTAATATAAAGCAAAAGCAAAAAATGAGAAAAAAATAACACAGAAACACTGTATTTTGGTTCCTGTCATGGACTCTTGTTAAAGGCTACCTGTTCCATATTTTGAACAATCGCTATACACAAAAAAACATTGTTCTCAGTAATAACTAAATTGTCATTTGGCTCTGTTTCTTTAAAAAAAAAATAGCCGGAGAATGCAGCGGTGCTGCTAACTGCAGCATACAGACAAGTGGAGCAGAAAGCACAAGATGAACACTAAACTATTAATGTTCATGTCATGTTACTCAAATAGCATTTTCTATTAGATGAGCTGGCGACAACAACTAAATATTCCTCGCCCCGGAGCAGCCGGCTCTGCAGTTAAGTGCAGTCCTGGTGCAAATAGAAGAAAAAAAAAAAAAAAATGTATTTGAAAGAAAATTCCATCCTTGTTGTTTTATGTAATATTGAGGGACATGTCTGAAGAAGCCTCTTTCCACTTTCCATGCTCCCAGAAAAACAACGCGCCCCCTGCCTTTATCATCACCTATTTATATCCGTCTAATCCTTTCTCTGGTTGCTTCAATCTAATTACAGGCGTACACAGTCTATCATTACTTAGCTAAATAAGTCAATGAGGGTTTTAGATACCTTCTCCGGCACCACGCTTTTTCCGTCCCAAGCGTAGCCTCTCTTGGTGAAGTAGTTTACTGTGGCGAACTCGATGAGGGCGGAGAAGACGAAGGCGTAGCAGACGGCGATGAACCAGTCCATAGCTGTGGCGTAGGCCACTTTAGGAAGTGAGTTCCTGGCACTGATACTGAGAGTGGTCATGGTCAGGACAGTGGTCACTCCTGCAGGAGACAAACAGACAAGACAAAAAACCAAGATGAATCCTGGACACCCAAATCCCGTTGGTATCTGTACATGATTTCGAATTGCATAAAAGAGGAGAGTTTAATGTTGATTTAAACATATTGTCCAACTGTAGTATTGTCTACTGGGAATTGTAATGAGCGTATACAGTGTGTAGTGAGACAGAAACTGGGTCAAAGCTTATCTAATATGCTGCTCATCATAGGAAAAGACCACTGCAGATGTTTACACACCAAGCAGAATCGGCCCAATCTGCGAAGAATCTGCGGCTCATTTTGAACTATCATGAAGAACAGCTGGTTTGCAGAGGAAATATAAAATATGCAAGAAGGACCCCCCCCACTCACATGCTGTTTGTAGGCAGATGTTTATTTTCACCTAGAAACATGGGATCCGGAGAAATCGTGGGAGGTTTCAGATATTTCCCTCGGCATGACTTCAAACCTTTCAAAATCAGCTTGTTTTTCTATTTATGCATCTCAATTAGTTCTCATGACCTGCCTATTACCACAGAAAGAATATACATCTAAATAAATAAATACTTATATACTTATATAAATATTTCATCCACACAAATTCAATTCAGTTAATAGGTATTGCGCAAATCTAAAAAAAAGCATCTAACTGATAAAAGAACATAAAATTATGTCAAATATTGAAAGTAAGACATGTTAACAGTGTAACTATTAAGAATGATTGACGGCGGTAAAAATGTTGGCATAAAAGATTAACGCAGTGGAAAAACATGACCCCGTTCCAACCTTGTTCAGGCTTTTTCAGGTCATCAGTTTCAACACTTTCTCGGTTTTGTTGGTTTGTGAGATTTGAAATAAATTAATGGTATCCTTTACTTTTTATGCTATATCAACGCTTTTTGGAATTTCTGTAAAATAAAATCCCCGAAAACTCAATATTGACATAAATATCAGGTTCAAGCAGGCAAAATAATGTATTTCTTGATATAATCAGTTCACATAGCTTTGTTTTTATGCTTCAGTTGTTGCATCATGGTAATGGTATCATGAAGAAAGACCTCTGAAAATATTGTTAAGTGCTAGCCGTGTTTAATCCTCGGATCACATAGTACACAATAAGAATAAAAACATTCATATTAATTGAGTTTGCATCAAAAATAAAGGGCACATCAATTATAAAAAGAATAATATATGACTTAAAAAACTATTAAGAACAACATGGCATAGCTGTGCACATGTACTATCCTAAATCCAGGAGAAGCTGCTTCTGTTGCTTATTGAGTTTTTGCGCATGTTCCCAAATGTTACCGTTCCCCCCTCAGAATTATGAATTCTCTTTTTTGATTCCTCCTCAGTTGTGGGGAAGTGTTAAGCGATGAATCACAGCGTCGTCATCCTCCCACCCTCTTTTTCACATGCCTTTGCTGCTGCCGACTGGGTGCTGAGGCATGTACTATAAGGGATGGTTACGATGTTCTCATTACTCACAACCAGATAATTGATTTGTCTTTGCCCAAAACCAGGCAAGACACCTCTGATGGATTTAGCGGAATCTGCATAGTTGGAATGGAGCGTACGTGACTGTACATTTGCGATGTTCATTAGGGCTCTGAAGGGGCAAATGCTGTAAGTAGGTCAAAGGTATTTATCTAAGATATTAACTGCAGGAACTATGTCTTTAAAGAAAAAAAAAAAGAAAAAAAATTTGGTGCAAAGATAGAGGGTTTATTTCCACACAAGGAGTTTACACAGATGAAGCAGGAGAACATTAATGACTTGCATCTGTTAAGTACAGGCTGAATATTCTATGAAAATTTAGCAACCTTTTTTTTTGCTGGAGGGGGGGTGGTGTATTTACAAAGTTATATCATTTCACAGAATTGACGCATAATTGGGATCTGCACTGCGCCAACTGCTAAGTAGGCCAACGTGTGGTTTCTTGATTTATTGTTATGGGAATGCATGGCAACAGACGACACACAGACAGGAAGTGACGCTCGCTCAATTATCCATACTAGATTTCCCCTCACAAATCTCTTCGCATTTTTGCCAGTTTGCATTTAAGAAGATGACAATGAGCCCAAATTAGGTGAAGTACAGTCATGGCCCAATGTGCACGTTTTTTTTCTCTATAACATTTCCTTGCTTACAAAGAATGCTTATTTTTCCTCATCAGATGGTTATCAATTTTTATAAATTCATATGATGTGATTTTCTGGAATATTCTTTGGGATTCTGTCTTTCACTGTTAGAATGTACATATGATTAAAGTTATATATCGTTGCATTCTTTGTAAGTGGGCAAACCGGCAAAATCAGCAAGGGGTCCAATACTTATTTCCCCCACTGTATATATATATCTGAATATTATATATATGAAAATTTCTATTTTTGTCTTTATTTCTACAAATTGGCACCAAAATAAAGTAACTTTAGAGAGATCATAGCCGTTCACTGTATCACTCACTGCTTCCCAATAAGAACCTGCAGGTCGGACCAGAGTGAAATGCACTGAATACAAAACTCACCTCCAGATCGACAAAAAACTCAGTATTCTGTCCATATAAAACAACTTTTCACGGAGTTAACCCCACACTTTGAAAGGCCCTGATCAAGCTGTCTGTGAAGAATGGGCAGCCGACTGGACTGTGATGCCTCACATTCACCTGTGCATCTGTGCCTTTTATGGGGGAGGACGAAAGCAGCACCACTGGGTATTACACAAGTCCTCAGAAAAGCACTCTGATGCTTTGTATGGCGTGTAGTTTACTGTGTTTGGCAAGCTTTGTTGTCATGGAAACAAGTCTTCTCTCCGCTACAATGTGCGAATACCATTGGAGAGAGAAAAGGGATTGGGCACCATTCTTTCAACATTAGAAATAATCTATGGATTTTGCTATTAATAAGGGATGCCGTATTGTTTACAGTCAAATGCACATATGTGTGAAGGTGTGTGTTTGGGCCAAACAATATTTTTTGCCTCCAGTAAAAAAAAAAGGTCCCCATTTATGTGTTGCTCTGTGATAGGGCCTACTTAAGAATCATTTAGAACAATAGCACGTTGATTCATTAGAGCATGACTACAGTACAGAGCTTGTTTTTAATGACTCTATTTGATGCGTAGTAACTAATAGACTTGAGGTTTTGAAGGCTGTTAATGAACAAAGGCACTGATCTGAAAAGTTTTAACTGGATTAATAATGTTTTAACTCCACTCCTGAGAGCTCATCCCACTCAATTTAGCTCTCTGTGAACAACACAGGCACATCTTAAATATGATACAAATCTTATTTACGGAATTACTCAAAAAACTAATAAAAAAGACAGCAAAACTAAATACCACCAGTTCTAAGCTGCCCTCAAGAGGTTATATATCAGACAATAAATTGTTCCACGCAGTGATAAGAATTAATACAAAACAAAACATCCTTTTTGATTACATTTTTTCAAATGATTCTTCTGTGCAAATCAAGAATCATAGCTTTGTCTTTCTTATTGATCGTTCCCACAATTTGTTTGCCCATCACGGACAGGCCTGGAATGACAGCTCTCAGACAATCTGAAAGGCGGGGAAGTATATCACTCATACCATTACATCACATACAAATCACAGACAAAACCCCGTCTGGGAGAATGACCCTTCAGAAAAATGTCTCTCCGCCCCTTAGTTCCAAGCACAAATTTGCCTCAGACTGTGTTTTGACAGAGAATGCAACCAATCAAACGTGACAATCAAAATGTGGGTCAAAAGTACAATGGGAAGTGGGACGCCAGCTCACTCAAAAGAAATATTCTGACGGCTGCTAAATGATGATACAATATAGGAACAGATGGTTGGTTTTGAAACTACTTATAGTGTTTGCACTTATGAGAAAAAATAAAGGACGGACATGACTTAACCATCCGAAGCCCAAGCTTTTATTAAGTGTGCATTTTGGCATATATCTCCCAGACAAATGGGATTGGTAGGACCCAACAAGTTTAAGAACTAGACTCTGTCATAGTACAGGAAGTAGTTTTCTACATATAGGGACAGTGGGTTTATTTTTTTATTAAAAATGTGGATTTATATATTCAATACTTTTCTTTGGTTCTTTGGTTCTGACGGTCCAAATTAAATAATTGCAACATTTTAATTACACACTCTTGCCATGACTGGTTGAATACATATAAAACTATTCAATTTTAGATTTATTTATCAGATTTATTTTAGATTTAGAGAACATTAGTTTCTGATAGTGTCTATTATAAAGCCTGTAGGTCAAAATTGAAAAAAAAAAACCAAAGTGCATGTTACAGAGAGTCACAAATGCAATTTTGTCATATGAGGACACAGGTTCTCAGGATATGAAAGATTAAAAATATAACTAATAATAAAGTTACTTCATTCAAGCACTGCAATGTGTTGTGGAGGTGCCTAATCTCTTATAAATAAGCTCCTCCTCCACACAACAAGCTTGTCCTTCAGTGACTTGCTTATCATGGTGGCAACGATCTTACATGGAGGTGGAAATGACATAACCATCTTTGTAATAGTTCTAAAATTTACATATACTAAAACTCCCTGAAAGTGGTTCTTCAAGTATGATTATCCCCTAATGTTTACTAAAACGTGACCTAAAAAATCCCCTAAAGCCCCTAAAAACCACATGAGAGAAAGAATCGAAGCAACAATCTGACTCAAGTCATCTGCTATATCTTGGAATAAAGTCTTGCCTTCCTGCCACTAAACCACTATTGATTTTTAATTTGTGCTGGCATGTAGTTTCAATACAATTTATGCAAGTAAACGTTGTTTCACACAATGGTCTCTGACCAAGTTGCATTATATACAATCTCTTAAGTTTGAGGTGATTTACACAGACACCCATACATCATAAATACTTCAACTTGATAAAACCTACATTTTTATCCCAACTATGTGCAAAAGAGGATTATTCTGTTTTTTTTTTAACTCAGTGCAGAAAATTGGCGACTCCTTAGATCTCATAATATGAAAGGGACTGCTTGCACTGAATCTTGTGAAGCAAGTCAACGGAATGGACTGTTGGAGTTGTCATGTAGCTTCTTAACATTCTCTAAACCGGTCCCGAGAGAGAAGCTATCTTTGTAGCATGTCTATCAATGTTTCCCACTGTGCAGAGCCACTAGTTTATTGATGCCTTATCAATAACTGAAGCTTCACGGTAGCCTGACTCGGTTACATATTACCTTCAATATCACTAAATTGTCTTTGGTTTACACAAATGAAGAAATAAAGTGACATGTTGACTGGCAGGTGATTAAACGACTATGCCAGCTCCACAGCTGTGAGATTCAAATCAACCACATACTTGGAAACGCACGCACACACACACACACACACAGACACACACAGAGACATGCTACAGTAAATAACAGCTCTGCCTACGATGTCAAAGAGTGATCATGACTCTAAGCATGCCCACCGGTGCAAAACAGCATGCTCACATGTGGCAGACAAACACATTCGGCGACACGGGCTCACATCTGAGCGCAAATGTGTGAGCGCATGGATGCGAACAGGCACATTAAATTTTCCACTGCTCGCACACAAGGTGCGATTCCTTAATGAGCGGACACATTAAACGGCATCGTGGGAGAACCAATAAATACCCAGCCATTCGCTTCTAAAGAGGAGAGATGGAAGCAAGCTAATCTTCTGAGCTGCTGTCCCTGACAGCTCAGAGACAGAGAAAAACGGGGAGGGAGGGGGAGGGAGGAGGAAAGAGGGAAAAGAGCACCACATCAGCGCCATCAGTGGCCATTTCCTTCCGGTTTAATTTGGACTCCAAATAAATTGCTAACAGTTTTCCACAACACCGAACTAGCTATAAACTAATCAGCCTCTTAATCGGCAGAGTGATAAATAAGATAACTCTACCCACTGCTGTGTTTTTAAATTGCCTATTCATCTGCAGGGCAGGCTTTAGGAAAAAAACAAGATTTAGTACTGATGCTTTGCTTCATAGTCACATAATGTAATTTAAACAGACTGTTCAATGGTGCATTTGTTCACCCTAATGGTGTTTCTGTGTCAGCTTTGGACATCTGATCACATCTATAGTTCTGTGATAACGTACAATATTACCGCAGTTTGTTTATTGTTGGTAATGGTGCCGCTTTTGATACATCTCGGAGGTGCTCTAAAAATAAAATGAAGAAAAAAAACAAAAAGCAGTTGTATTCTATAAAACAGAGGGATAAGACTAAAGCACATCTTCACAATTTATTCATTTCTCCTACATTAAATACAATAATGTACAATAACACATTTTTACACTTGGCTTAAAAGGATATTTGCTTTGTTTACGTTCACTGTGATAGTCCAGTGATTGACCTATATATAGATAAGATAATCAGTCCAAATATAGAGTTTGCATTAGTTACATAAATCCTATTCCATTCTTATTTACATATATATTGTACAGCACACACTCTGATTAATGACAACCAGCCTCTTTTCGTCTTAATGTGATCAAGTCACTGTCATTGATCATAACGCAACGGCTCCCACGAAATGCATGAAAGAATTATGAAGTGTCATGAATAATGAGAGGCATTCTCGAGAAGGAGCTGTCAGTGCTCTTATTTACTTTTTCTTAAGCAGTGCTTGTTTTTCTAACAACTTGGCTACAGGGAACCTTTATGAAACACTGAGACAATTAAGAAATATATTCAGTGAGTTTCACAAACATTATGACATGGTGAGTTAAATCAGCAGGGGAGTTTAAACTTATCACCACTCCATACAAACACTTATACAAGCTTGCCTGGCATAAGAGTCAACGGATACAGATGGCGAGGAGAAATCTTGATTCTCAACTGTCTTCTTAATCATTTCATTTATGTTCACACTGACATTTTAACCTCTTTGAAAAAAAAAAAAGTCATTCTTCTCCTGCTTAAGCGTTGCACATTAATCACATGAATGGCCAGTGCAGTATACTAGAATGTGCATCATTCCGTCTTGATAAACATGTGAACGTGTGTGTGTGTGTGTGTGTGTTTGCGCGGTCACATGCTTGCGTGCACTCTATATGCATGTAATCCCATGAAGCAGAACCATTCATGATCGCATGAGGGACACACACATGCCCTAGATAGTTTTGAATCTAATCGAGGCCATCCTCATTTTCTTCTCGACACGTGACGAGCACCGCAGGTAGCGAGCCGTGGGTATGGACGCACACACGCGCAAGGGAAACACTCGCAGCTCGCACAAGCAGAGACCCAAAAAACCATTGCGGGAAGATTAAAAAAAAAACCTGCTGGTGGAGACTGCGGGAAAAAAAGCAAAACGTTCTCCTTCTGTGACAATCGGAGGAAATCTTTTTAAGCGGCGGGCCAAAAGGAGACAACAACGGCCATGAGACACAGATGAAGACACAAAAAAAAAGCAAGTGTGGGAGCGAGAGGTAAGAGAAGAAGAAGAAGCAAGTGTGTAGGGTGAGGTAAGTCAAGGACACAGCCTGATGCTGGGCTCTGCTGCTACGGAGCATGCTGCAGGCTAGCAAGAGCTTCCCTTTTGGGTGCTATTATGTAAGACCATTGTGCGACAGACAGACACACACACGTCCGATACACACACAGACGCACGCAAACACGAAACGCACCGGGCAGCGTGCACGCGCGCACAAAAAACCCCCGCTGACGACACACGGGCAGTCACTTTCACGCAACTTGTACTCTGGCCATGCAGCGCGCATATTTCTAAAATTTACACCCAGCCGGGCTTAGAATTCACCTGCAGCTAGCCACAACTGATTAAACTTTATATTCAAGTCCACAGTGCAAAGAAGGAGAAGAGCGAAACACGGTAGACATGTTTTGAAGTAGACTTGGTCCCACTCTGTAACTGACCAGTTTATCCTTAAGCGTTTTTCTTTTACATGGTTGGAAATTAAAGAAAGTTACATTGATCCCACAGTTGTTTCAGAAAATTCCACTGAAAACCAGAAGTCTCTATCATTAAGCAATAACAATAATTCTGAATATGTTGCAGAGATTTTACAGCCTATCTTTCCAAGCTTAATTTCGTTTTTTCTGAAGAGATATTTCAATGTTAGCTTCAACACCCCTAGAAAGATAGAAAACATATATTTATTTCACCTTTTAACTTTTTCTCCGTCCTGCCATTTGCTTTCTTGGCCAAATCAAAGAATAAAAAGGAACTCAACTCGTACCCTGATACAACGGGACAGCTGCATTTTCTGAAGGCATAGTCTCACAATGAGGTCATGCACTGCCTTGAAAATGAGAATGTGCTCTTCACACTGTAGCGAATGAACAAACTCAGGGCCATATCTTCTGAGGAAAATATTTACTCTTGTTGGAACCAAATGTCAGAGATACGTCTGCCTCATGACTCAGTGTGTTGACAAGTTTGATGCAGGTTTTGGTGATTTACATATATATATATATATAACGCTTGTGTAAACCCTATGACTATTACCTCAATATAATGCTAAAAGGCTGAAAGAAAAGATACTATACAATTGCATTATAACAGATTAGATGATATTGCACACCTTCTTTTTCGATCACAGATGTTTTTACAGTCATTAGGTCATTGCCAATTGGTTTCAATTAAAGAGGAAATGTTAAATTATTGTATAATGGTGGCATTAGGAGTCTGTATGTAGCAATCTTACAGGGTCTTCCCCCCTTGTTATCACATCTTCAAGCTGGGTTTCCTGTCATGCTCTGAACTTCCATAGTTTTGAGTGAGTGCCTAATGGTGTTATAGTTGTTTCTTCCACACTAATTTGCCAAAAACAGATTTAAAAACCTTCCGCTGATAGAAAGATCTTTTAAAGCCACAGATGTGCAGACGAGAAGAGAGCGGATAACTCACCAAAGACAGTCCTGGCAGGGACCGACTCTCTGTTGAGCCAAAAAGACACTTGGGAGAGGATGACTGTCATGATGCAGGGTAGATATGTCTGGATCACAAAGTAACCAATTTTCCTCTTCAGGTGGAAGTGGGTTGTCATCACGACATACTCTCCTGTTGTCCAAGGAATAAAAGACAGTTTCTATAAATGCAAAAAATCTTAGATAGGCACAAAACTAACATGCTCCCTCTAAAATCTAATTGCAGAAGTGTATTAATCCATATGAGTCAATGTGAACCTTTTCGGTAAATATGACCCATTTTTAGCATTATCTAAAAAAATTATGGATATTCGGCTGTTTTTAGATGTTTCCTGGGTAGCATGTCTTGATTGTTAGGTAAAGAGATGACAATATAAGTGAAAACAATGATAAGAAAGGTAAAAAAACAACACAGAAAGTGCACTCCAAGATGGAGCTGCATGGTCTTTGTCAACAGTCCAGACAAGAAATCACAACTGTCAGAACTGGGGTAAAAACATTTACAAAATAAAAACCAAGGAACAGGTTGCAAAACGTTCCTATCCAATGTTTCAAATGTCTCATAGGGAGATACAAAGGAGTTGACGGTGACATTACACTGTAGGCTGCTAAGCAATGGAGCCTGAACACTCCCTTTCAATAACTTGTCCCTTTCTTCCTTCACTGCCAGCTGCTTTTCCATCTTAAATTACATTATTTAACTCAGATACAAACCACAATATAGCTGTTTAAAGACAAAAAGTGTCTACAAATACCTGGCTACAAGTGCTAATTGTATCATCAGGATGCTTCCCAGAGGCTAAAGCCCAGGCTCAAGGCACAGAAACAGCCTTTTTCTGCCTGTCATCATCCTGTCTAACTGTTCATTTTGCTGTCAAGCATCTTTCATATAAAGGCCAATTGATTTTCAAAATCCTTTTAAATAAAAGTGGAATAGCTTCACCGTGTCACAAAACCTGCACACATCCACCTTTTCTTTTGCACTTGCTCTGCTTTGAATATGTCCCTCTCATACTTTTTCCTGTGCTGAAAATCGCCCTCAGTCAAACTGACACCGAGTAAAGAGAAAAAACAGCTCACGACTAAAGGGCTTGGCTGGTTCTGTCAAACACGGTAGCACATCCTTGATTGCAAGAAAATCCGCTTTTTGGCTTAATGGAATTGCCTGGAGCCATCACCTTATGATCGTTTCACTGTAGGTCGTTAGCTATTCCCAAATAAGGTAGTGTCCTCAGTTGGCAAAGTCTGAAACCTTATTTCGGCCCGAATGGGAAATATTTAAATAAATAATTCGATTTAAAGTAAAAGACTAAAAGTGCACAGCTCAGAGTGATTCAGACTGGAGACAGCGAAGGTCCAGCAGAGTGAAGGAAGACACAGACATCTGCTGATGTCTTAAATACAACCGCACGCATAGAGTGGTGAGGGGACGTTGCCTGCAATGGGCAATGTTGCAAACAGGTCACCCCGTTTTTAAGCTGTGATGAACTTCTGCCAGTGTCAGTTGACCAAAATGAAGTGGGAGGGAAAAAAAAAAAATAGGGGGACCAAGAGGGAAATGCTAAATGTAGGACATGGTCTGTCATTCAGATGGCAACGTAAACCGATGTCCAAAAAGATGCTGGTGATCTGCTTTTGATGAATAAATTAAACTTGCCTGTGCTGGACTGCACCACTCCAGAATCCACACTCTGCCCCATCAGATCGTACTGGTTTAACCTGGAGCCGTCCTCCGCCACCACCACAGACTGGGCAGCACCTCGGGTCCACACGTACACCACTTCTGCTCTGGTGTAAGCATCTGATGAAACAAGTTTTAAAAAATGGTTAGAAATCCATTTAAGTTGGAAAAGATTCCAGTAAGAAAAAGAAAAAAATCTGGAAAATACCATCTCTTTTCTTATTTCGATGCCTGCTAATAAAACACACTATCCAAACTGAGGTGTTCGTATCCCTTCTTTTATCATTTTTCCCCTTTATAACATACAATCACAAGTCTTTAAAAAATGGTTAGAAATTCATTTAAGTTGGAAAAGATTCCAATAAGAAAAAGAAAAAAAAAATTGGAAAATATATTGAACCATCTATTTTCTTATCTCGGTCCCTGCTAATAAAACACATTATCCAAACTGAGGTGTTCATATCCCTTCTTTTATCATTTTTCCCCTTGATAACATACAATCACATTGTGCCTAAATCTTATTAGGTTTTTAAAACCGTTTTTTCGTAACGTGTTGTGTCGCGCCATGCTGCATCATGTCATCCTGATCTTACAAGAAAAATAAGCAAACAGCATCTCAATAGGACAACATGACCTTAAAGCAGGCAAGTCAGTTTTTTTTTTTCTCCCCCTCTGGCCACACAACCTGTCAAAGCCGCACCGTTTGCTCGGCCACTGCAGAGGAAAAGGATGGCTCCACTGCAGACTGCAGCATAAGGATGAGAGCTCATCACTAAAATATTTAGCGAGTGAGTTCAATTTAAAGCAGTTTAAGACTCGGTCCTCTCACTCACGCTGCGCAGCTGTCTGAAGAATAGGCACAGAGGCAGTGTGACGTTCTCTCCTCCGTTACCTTAACATTTGCTGTATTCTTTGCTTTTTTTTCTTTCTAGTTCCTAAACTCTCCTTCTCTGGTTTTCCTCTCATTTTTCTATTTTCGTCCCTAACTTCTGTCACTCTATCGCTTGTTACGTCTTCTTAAGGATGATGCAGGGTAGCTGCAGCTGTCAGCAGTGAGCAGCTGGTGTGTTGCTTTGGCAATATGACGGAGAGAACTGTGCGCTGCGTGCCTGCCAGCATTTAAGGAAGGTCTAGCAGGGTTGAACGGGTGGGGCTGTTACCATGCTGCTTTCCCTTTACTCGTGGTGCCTTTCCTTACTTAAAGACGTGTGCATCGTTGTGGCTTTTGTTAAAGCTAATTTTCATTTGAGTATTTTCATGCAAAAACTGTATGTGATCACAGAGACTACTTACAGCTGCCAAACTTCAGTGGACAGGCATGAGCATCCATAGGAAAGTCCTCTAGATGCATAGGACATTCTGCTCTCACTGTAAGCCTAGGGAGTTTCATATAGAAATAACATTGAGTTAGAACATAAAGTGGAAACATGGAGAACCAAAAAGCACAAAACAAGCAAATTGAAGGAGAGAAGCTGGAAATAGTTCAGTTTACTACCAGTTAAACAGCAGAAACATTTGGTTTAAAATCTATTCCCGGTTCCCTTGTGCTGAAATTGTGTTGAAGTTGCATAGATCGTTTTACCACAGAGAAACGTTTTAGTTCTCTGTACTGCAAGCGTGTATTTCCTTACAGCCCAGTGGGAAAAAAAAGCATGTCAGGCACCCCGTGACACACTAATCTCCCATCAATCCCTCATCTCACTCATCTGTGACACCAATATGGGCTCTATCTCTTCCCCTCCTCCTCTTGGTAAACATGTTGAAACAAATGTTTTACAATCCCTCCCGTGGACGTCTCACATTAGCATCAGTCTTTGGCACTAACCAAGGCTCTAAACTGTCATGAGGGGTTTATTTACCCCTCTCCTGCTGAAGGCTGCAGCGGAGCCACGGGTGGTTTTAACTCAACTCAGGTCCTCACAAATGTCAGGTACGAAGGGATGACTTATGTCGAGCACTCATAATAGTGATCCTGGTATACAGCACCACAGGAACTAGACAGTTTGTGATAAAAATATATGTCCCTGACCATTTTCCAAAGGACATTTAATTTGTTTTTAAATTTTTTAAATATAAATAAAGATTTCATGGCAGACTAAATCTTTGATTAAAAAGAAATATAAACACACCAACACATTTTCAAGATTATTAGATGCATTCAAGGTTCAAAGCATACACTGAAAAGTAATTTTTTTCCCGTTTTTCTTGAAAAGGATGTTTAGTCAGATGTATGTATCTAACTTTTACTTTTTAAACTCGTATATTATTCGCTGCTGGAGCAAATATATAGTGACGTGTTTAAAAAACCAAAAAAACATTTTTATAAACAGCTTTAAAAGCATAATGTCTTTAAAGCCTGAATAGGCTTTAGGTCCCAGCTAACTTATCACAGCAGCCATTGGGCAAGAATTGGGGTACAATTTATGTCGCCAGTCCATCACAGGGTTAACAGAGTCAACAACCACACACACTTGCATTCACCCCTAGATCCAATTCCAATTGTTGAAGTAACCTAACAGTCATATTTTTGCATGGTGGGAGACACAGACAAAGGGAGAAATTGCAAACTCCACAAAAAAATAAAAATGAATAAACAAAAAATCCTGGTCCCCCAGGGATTTGAACCAGAGATGACAGTGCTAACAACCAAAACCACTGTGCCACCCATTTAAAATCATAAAGCAGGAAAAAAAAATCCCTTCTCAAGGGCAAAATGGAGGAAGATCTACAAAATAACTTAAACTTTCTAGGAATACCTTGGGTAGATGTCACATCCAAGAATATATTCTTCGTGCTCAAGGCCTCTTTAAAACAGCCAATTAAAAGGAAAATGTGTTTCAATATATATTTGCACTGCTTTTATTTCAAACAGATGGAAGTAAGGAACCTTTTTCTGTGATGATGTAACAGATTGTGTAACTTTCCATGATTCCATGAACTTTTCACCCCCATTTTCAATTCATGCAATAAAGATGCAATATATATGTTTCCTTTATGTTTTAAACTCTGACTTATTCTAAAATACTTTACTGCACAGACATAGATGATGTCATCCTACCTCATGGTATACAATAGGGTGCCTTCCTCTGTAATCCGCAGCAGCTTGTTTGGCATTGTCATGTTGTGGGCCACTGACTTCTTGCCATTGTGGAAGAAAGTGTCGGGGGTCCAGATCTTGCTGGCCATCAAATTGTTCAGGCGCAGCACGGCCATGGGGCCTTTGAATTTTAATCTTTCATCCTTCCAGCTCTGTCTAAAGAAGACATCAATGGTGTACTCCTACAGGTGGGATGATGAGAGTAGAGGCAGACGGAAAAGTCAACAAAAGGCCAAGTTTTTCTGTCACGTGGCAGATCGCTTTCTGGAATTTACCCCGCTGCTGGCTTGGAAAAGATGTTGAGTAATCCAACCTCACTTTTTCCCGTTTGCCCTTTTTCATATTCTCACACTTTTCTTTTTTTCTTTCCCGTGTCACTTTGACTTTTTCCTTGGTAGTCTTGGCCCAGTTTCCCAGCTCGTAACTGTCTCTTCAAGTTAAAAGACGTGGCAAACAAAGTGAGGATCTAATGTTTGAAGTCTGGTCTCTTTTCGTAAATTATTTTAGTCTGACCAGTTTGATAATTAATTGGCAAATAGAGGATAATATACAGCGTTTATCTTTGGGAAAACTTCTTTGCTCAGTAATCTAAATTACACTGGACACAAAGAGAAAGCACTGGTTGTAAAATTAGGAGCACATTTCATTTTCAGGCCAGCTTATGACTATAGCTGAGAGGAGAATTTAATGGTTCCACATGACTGCCCGCTAGAGTAAAGGGAGCCTGTAAAAAATTACAGCACAGACGTTTTCTCTTTTCTTTCTTCTCTTCACCCCCTTTCCACTTGGTTCTCGTAAGATAATAAGTGTGAACTGAAACAGAGCTTCAAGGTAATAGAGGAGGATAGGGAAAGGGTACAGATGGAGAAAATGTTCTTTGGCTCTTCCTTCTGGCTTTAACGGAACAGTGAAATAGTTCTGGCCTGCATGTCAGCCAATGCAATTAACTGAGATTATGTCAAATAGAGAAGACACACTTCATGTGCATATAAAGGGAGTGAATTATTTGAATGAGATTAATTGGTTTCTGGTGCAGCGGCCAAAGATCACTTACTCAGGTTTGAACAGCCTGCAGATTCTCAAAAGAAGAACGATACAGAGGACTATGTAAATCATGAAATGCAACCATTTCAAGATGGATCATGTACATATTGACATTTAGCTACATCTATTTAAAAAACAACAACCTAGAAGTCAGCTTGTCACGGTAATGTTTACCAGGAATAAGTGGCATACATAGCAATTATGAGCTTGTTGTACCCTTTTTCAGGAGCAAAAGTGAAATCAGCTTAGCGGATCTAGTATTTTACAAAAGCCCAGCCAATTACTAAGAAAACTGTCAATTTATCCGTTTGCTGCTTTACTTGCTTTTCCACTTTGATGTCTAAATTTGCTGGTAAGAGAGGTGACCATACTGTTACTCCTCGAACATTATTGTTAACTACTGCCTTCTGGGTTGTAAATGACAAATATAATTCTATTTTTCAATGTTTTATAACAAACAAATTGAGTTTCTTACCAGCGAGCTTATGACAGATCTCATTTAGTTATATTTACCAGTAAAGAGAATATATAACAGAACAAGTCTTTTGAAATATATGGATATATTCATGTATCACAAGGCAACGGGAGTTAGTTCACAGTTCAGAGTTCAATGTCACTGGAGAAAGGCATGAGGGGGACAAGGAAATGGATGGCATTTACAGAGGCAAAAAGAGTCTTACCATGTCATGGTCCGAAACCGGTCCGATGCTAGTCACAAAAATGTCAGTCTTGACTTCAGTTACACGCTCTGTTGAAGCAGGAAATTGCCAGAGTGAGTGACTATCAATGGCATTCATTAGCCCTTAACTACTTGTTAATACAAGACCACCTGGCCATAGCCTCTGATGCATTCAATCTATTCAGCAATATCTAAACGCAGACACACCTTCCCACACACACACACATATACTCACAAATGATGAATTTTAGGATGTTGATAATCAGTCTTTTCTTATTGGCCCAATGTGCTCTATTCCCAAGTTGCAGGATCAATCTTTTAATGAATTTGAGTGTTGGTTGGATGCGTGCTTATGTGTGTGTGAGATGGTTCCTAACCTCGCAACTGTCAAATTGAAATGCAGCTGCATGATTTATAAATGATACCCAACCTAATTTAAAAAATTTCCTCCATGGCTGGAACCATGGCTGCTAGGAGTTCAGCTTTCATTCACCCGCCGGTTTAACGCCTGCTGCACCAGACTTCACGATTCCTCCGTATCCTTCACACTCCAATTTTCACTCTAACTCTCCCTTTTTTTCGTTCATTCTCTGTCTCTACTTTATCTCCTTCCCTCATTTTCCATTTCCAAAGATTTGTCTCTCGGTCCCCCTGCTATGTTACTTCCCTCTGACAATGAACAGCTGACAATAAGGTGGGAAAAAAAAAAAAAAGCCCATACAGAAAAAATGACACTGGCTGTGCGATATTGCACATCCTGGTATTATGACAACTTGACAAAAGCAGAAGGTAAATAATGAGACTCCACTTCTTTATTTCAATGATTATATGAGAGTGCGCCTAGTCCACCTCCACCATTTTCAGTGATGTGGATATAATTCTGCGTTATCATGGGGTTAGGGAAAATGATTCTCGGGTGCCTTTTGCATAACTAGACGAAAAATACAGAAAAAGGACCATCATGAGGCATGCACTGTATTCAATGGCTTCAGTTTACTGACCTCCCAGTCCTGGCCTGAGGCGATTGTCATAGCCATCCAGAAGGCTGTCTAAGATCTTGGTGAACACTGTGGTGTTATCTGTCACGCCGTTCTGCCCAGAGCTGCCAAAGCAGAGAAGATGATTTCAAGTCACAGCTTAAAAATCCAAAACTGCCAGCAGAGCAACAATAAACCCCTTAATATGAATCATACCGCATTATAAAGGGGAAAATAAATGGTTTTAGCCATGTAGATGGCAAGGACGCTATGTAGAGCACGGGCAGCACATGGCGCAAGATGAATCACGCTGTGAAAACACTGACAAGAAAACTGTGTTACACTGACTAATTTCGCATTTCTAATTTACAATTCATAGCGTGTGACTGTGGGATTTTGAATTGTGTTGATGTAAAATGAAGAAGCTAGCCACTGTATGGAGGTGGAATGTAAAGTAAGATATTTTATCCTGTCATTTTTTGAAGTACTACCCTTGTGGAGAGGATCTTGCATTAGATGACATTATCATGTGTGACTGTTTGAGGAGCACAAATGCAGGCACACGCAAATCTGCACATAGGCTCGACGGGGAGAGTGAGACAGGGAATAGAAATAGAGAAATCACGATTTATTATTTATACCTTAATATGGTATTTTAGACGACAAAGGCCTTGCTGAGTGCGCTCTTTGAACAACATGAAACAAAATGCTTAGAGCAATGCCGAAAACACTCACAATCAGTAATTGTGAGAGCAGGGTTTGCATCTCCATACATAAATATTTCAACACACCCCGAATCAGGGAAACAATCCCTAATTACGTAGAGTGGTGTGGCATAAAGGCAGAATGTGACACATCTAAGGCAGATCGTTCTCATTCTCTGCGTCACGTCAGCGCCATTTGGTTTGATTGCATGCAAAATAAACAGCGAGATTTTTAAACACGAGCTCTGCTAGCTGAATGGCTCCAAGGAGAGGGAGAGGTCATCGAGATTAGTTAGCAAAGACCCGCAATGGGAGGGAAGGAAACGGGCGAGAGGGATAGCAATATCTGGAGAAACATAGGGGTTCAAGCTTGAATGAGAGAAAAAAAATGTGCGGAAATAAAATGAAGATAACAGAGAGGGAGGAAGTAGAAATCAGGGGAGAGAGAGAGAGACTGAGAGTGGTGTGAATAGCATTCAGAATCTTTCCATTTTGAGAGAAAATGACTCACGGGGATGTATGCAGACCTGAAGTGAAACCTAAATATCTGAACGAGGGCTGTCAAAATGAGGATTCACCAACATCACAAACAGATATCAGTAAGAAAAAGGTAAAAGGACGTTTTCCCCCTTCTATCTCTAGTTTTCTTGGATTTGCCACCTGTGCGTCAAAGTATTTGAATCATAACATGAAATATAATCAAACAAATAAATATCTGGTTAGCCAGTTATATCTTACAGGCAACAAATTGAAATAATCAGATCCCAGTTGACCATACAACGCAATCTCCTTCTCCTTTCTTTTAGAATATTCCCATTTTCAATATTCAGGATTCTCCAAAGTAGAGCTACCTGCCAGATTTTATTTCAGGTCTGCTCAAAGGGTTACAACCCATTTGATACTTTCAATGAATGCAGAAGACATGTTAGGTCCTGCAACTGTTTATATCTCTTTTTAGACATTCCATATATGAAAGAATCTCACATGATTAATCTTTCAGAGTAATTAATAATAATTTCAAATAAAAGGACAATCTTGCTGTGAAAGGGGGCTTTTTTTTAACCCCGCCTAAGGATTCGGGCATGTCCAAAAAAGTTATTTTTACATCCTAGGAATGAACAGCACCCTGTGATATCAATATTTTAAAAACAGGGATTTTAATGGGAAAATGGGGGAAACATGTTGGGTGACGTTCTGGATATGTGTGTCAAGGATAAAAAAAAAGAAAAAACGGAGAGAGGAAAGGTGCACACGTTGATCAGCCAGGGGGCTACTTTAGTCTAAAACACTGTACACCATCTCCATCTACAGGTCATCTGAACAGCAACAGTGCTGTTCGTGCTCACACTGTCATCGTCTCGGTTTCTGTCCATTTTTCTCCATAGCTCACTCCCCCCCCCGCTTCTCTGACTCTCCTGTCAACCGGATAGCTAATTATATGGCAATTTCTTTCGTTGGCAACATACTGTAGCGAAGCACTTGGTCCTCTTGATTACTGTGTCTTGCTGAAATTCCCAAAGGTGTATGTGTATATGTGTGTGTGTGTGTGTGTATATGTGTGATTCTATATTTGACTTCAAAAAGGGCACTGGATTATACAGTAAATCTTTGGATGATAATTGCTTTGCAGTTTGCAGTGACGGTCCCTCAGTGCTGTCACTGCATCACTTCAGCACTTTAACGTTTCCTCTAATGTGCAGCTCAAACAGGACCATCCATTTGCAGCTCCTAGAGCTCAAAGCACAGCCACATCTGTGATTAATAACTTATATCAAATCCATTTCCAATAATCTTGTACCGCAACACGTCATGAATGGGAAAACAGAAGTGCCTTTCTTTCTCTGTGTCATGTTAGAGGGATAAGTTATTCCATATGTGACACATTCGGGATAAAGTATGGATTTGTTTTTTCTGTAGTGCAAGTGCTCCGAAAGGCAAGTTGGACGGTCTCAAGATATGACTATTTAAGTCAACTGCCTGTGACAGTTCTGCTGAATTATTCAGCTGTTAGGTAAAACATGATCCCCTCGGTCTTTTGCTGGGTTCTCCACAAAAACCGCACAAGAACAAGAGCCTGGACGTGCAGTTGGAGCAGTCGACGAATTAGACTTTCTGAATTGTTTTATTTGTTCTCGTAAATGTTTAATTAGTCGGCGTGCGCGTTTATCCAAGGAGGGGGTATGAAATATGGAGCACGCGGAAGGAATTAATGCAGCTGCAGTCACACCACAGTGAATCTTTCTTCTGTCATTTTGAATCCAATTCTCTCGTTTCTCTCCTTGTTTGCCTGTGTCTGAGCGGCTGACATCATCCCGACACTTCGGTGTTAACACTGAGAAGGAGATTCTGTACATCGACCCCCTACTCTCCCTGCGGTCACTGTCGAAAAAACCCATGTGGACTTAACTACAACAAACATACCGGTTCAACACAGATCACCCTCTGTGGCTATAGATATTGGCCTACAAAAGAGGTAACACCAATGTAAAGCGGATAGCGGTTATTTTGGTTTCTCGTCGCTTCTCCCTGTGCTGCCTGTATTATTACCTCTGCAATTATGAGTATGGAGGTGTCCTGTGAGGATGCCCCAGTTACAACCACGGCGAATATGCTCTGCCAGGTTCTAACCTAATAAGCCAATCACCAGGCCGGAAGACAGAGAAACGGCCTGGCAGGTGAACGGCTTTCTCTTTGGCTTACTTACACATTGACAAACATGTCTACGAGCCAGCTGACCATTTGGCCAGCAGCGGGTCAGCAGTCTTCTAGTGTATATGTATAATTAGGGACTGTCCAAAGACAGCTTGATCATAGGTTATCATTGGCATCCTAGATTTCTCATACATGGCTTAACAGTTAAGGTATATGAACTGTGGACAGATGCACCAAGGGTTTCTGGAAATCAATGTTGTTAGCTTCCTACTGCGACCCAATGTGTTACAGCAGAAGAATGTGCATATTCTCAAGTCATAATTTTGAATTTTCCCTTACCTTTTCCCGCCCGGCACGCTGTTGGTGACGAGCAAGCAAACGAAAAGACACAAACAGGCCACCCTGCTCCCTCCACACATCGTTGCAATATGAGGACCTTTCACTGTTGGGGGGATTAAAAAGAGAGAGAAACAAACATCATTTCCATGTGTTACACCATCGTTTTCGACTTTTAGTCACGTCAAAGTTTTAAGAAAAACATGGGCGAGAACGACACCTAACATGGATAACTGGACCATGTTCCTTTACAGGAAATTTATATGAGGTTTGTGATCCTGCATCCCTTTCAGCTAACGACACAAGTCAACTGGCTCTGTCAAGAGTGCCACTGGGCAAACAACACTCAGACATTGATGACAACAATACCATCATAATCCTAAATAGCGTGCGAAATTGGCAGAGGCATTTTCTCCTCCTTAACAACAGGGGATCCTAAACATGACAGAATGAACACATAAATAAACATATACATGAAAATAAGCTGAACGCTTTTTCTATGATCAGAAAAGTATGTGTAAACACTCTTTTAGTCTCTGAAGCTTAAACACACACATCTGGCATCTGTAGCGCATGACAATTAAGGAGAAATAACAAGGAAACGCACCATCGAGTGCACAGCACCTTGTGTGAGTCTGTAGCACCTGTGAACAGACCCCTTCTAATACCCTGCAATGTGAAGCAGCGGTACCGCAAGATCAAATCAACCCCCACCACCACCACCACCACCACCACCCTCCACCCTCCACCCCTCCCCTAAAATAAGAACATTTGCTCGCTCCTCAAACATTTGGCTATGATGTCAGCCGGGTCACTAAAGTATACAAGCAACACCCTGCGCTATAGGACATGCAAATTACGATGCTGATTTTAACAGCCCATCACGAAAAAGCATAACCAAAGTGTCCACGAGAGGGCAAGTTGCTTCCTAATATTCTTTCCAAGCGTTAGAATTCTGCAAACGAACAAAAATTAAATAAATAAATGTGCTTCCGAAACACGTCTCGCGTCTTGAAGAAAAATGGACATAACAGTTGCTCGTTTTTTTTGCTACGGGGTTCTTATGAGCGGATGGGAGTCGATTGGCACACAATGCTCCGTGAAAAACGACATGAAAAATAAAGATAAATCCTTTGCCTGGCGAGGATTTAATAAACCGAGGATGATGCAGATTAACGAATGGGGGGAGAAAATCCCGCACAAGCACACTTTCTAAGTTATTCGGAGGGCTCCCAGTGAATGAATATGACCGAAACCGGGGTAGAAAATTTTAGCATGCAACTGGAATCCCTACGAGGCTGGTCCAAATACATGCAAAGACGATCCGAACCGTGCGTGGAGGAGTAATTAAGCAAATGTGCGTGGACGAGCGCTGTCCGTGGTGCTGAAAACCAGCCAGCCTCCATCGGTTCTTCATTCCCATGAAATATTCAACCAAACGGTCCGAATTTTGGTTGAAAAACTGCCCCCACATCGTCGGAATCTGTCTTCAATTCAATAGCGGTGTCAGGCACCATAAAAAAGGGATAAAAACCCATCCCTTTCTAAATCCGACAGTTATTTCCCTCGTCCATTCTTTAGCCACATCAAAAAGGCAAAGGGAATGAGAATGTTACTTACAGCAGATGAGCCTGTGTATATATCGGGTGTCCAACTGACCACTGACTATACCTCCAACTTTTTGCGAATATCTTTTTTTTTATGGCCGGACTGAATGAGGAAAAAAAAAAATCCTCTGTGATCTCAGATCTGACGAATTTTAGCTCGAGGCTGGAGAAGCGGCTGCTGACGATATGCGCAGGTCTCTCTCTCACTGTTTCATTGGTGCTGTAGTGAGTTCAACTCTCAGTCTGTCAGATTTCAGAAACGTTCCCCCCCTAAACTAACGATCGTAGTCTCGGTGCCTCAAATGTTTCGGATCGTCGATCGTTCCTTTCCAATAAAGAGCACGGCAAAAAGACGACTGCAGACTATTTCATTTTCGGGAATCGGATGTGTCAATATGAAGACAAACCCGCCCATTTCATATGCAGCACAATTTAACCTCCACTGCTGTCGCTGCGATCTATTTTCAGTGGCCGCTATAAAAAAAAAAATCCTCTTGCATTTTTTAACTAAATTTCCCTTGCTTCACCCCCCCATTGCGCGTTATCCGTCTGTCTCTCTGACTCATACGTGATTTCCTAAAAAAAGACCGAATTCACCGTGGTTTCGTTTATCAAAAGACCGTCTCCCGACCAAGACGTCAAATGCACCTCACGGACAAGAGTAACAGTCATAAAAAAAGACAATAAGGCAAAAAAAAAGAGAACCGACACTAATGGATTACCGCTCGGGTATAGGCTATACGCGCGCACAAGCTGGGAGAAGACACCTTCAGAATTTCAAGATAATCGTGTGTCCCCCCCCCCCCCCCCCTTTCATCATCAGCTTGCACGGGGATGAACGAGGCTCTTTTCTGCAATAAAAAAAACAAAAACAAAACACTCCTCGTGTCACTCACCGTCTCCTAAAAGCCCACGTTTCGCATCGAGGCAACAGCGCAAATGTCTCTCCTGTTTTTACAGCCCAATATTCTGCTGCCACGGCCGCGCCACTCCAGACTGAGCACGGAACCGCGAGGCGCGCTGAGCTGCGTGCATCTGCAAGGGAGGAAGGAAGAAAAAAAAAAAAAAAAAAAGAAGGGGGGCTTATGATACGCGGCGTATATTTCTGTAGTCATCTGCGTATTTCAAGTTAAACTACAAATCAGAGGACATTTTCATCACCAGGGGGGGGTGGACTGTAACGGGATGTAGACGCGGACAGCAAGGGCATTCTTGTGGGGCACTTTTTTTTGATCGCATCGGTGTGATTTTCTGACCGCATAAGCCGTCTATAAACAACCCCCCTACCCCC